CGCATACAAAGGATTAAGTTCTCCCTGTGCACGACTCCAGGAAGACGTGTGGGAGTGGAGATAAAGTTCCAGACAATTCTAATCCTCGACATCAGATGGAGTTTAGGGCCATTAAATGAGCTGATGTCTCGCCTAAGGGCACTTTTGTTACATTCTGAGGATGTCACGTCTGAAGATCCTGTAAAGGTTTCGGTTGGGCGCCGCCATAGCTCAAGCGGCTAGTCGCTGGCTTCCCACCGAGGCGGCCCGAGTTCGATCCGGGTCTGATCAAGTGGGATTTGTGGTGGACAAAGTGAGCCAATCTTCATTCCATCAATTGCTCCACAATCACCCTCACCTATCATCTGTTGCTGGTACAATAGGCCACAAGTCGCCGCAGTGCAAGGGACTTAGTCACACCCCACTAGAAAAAAAGAAGTTTAGGTTATTTTGCTTCAATCAAATTTCCTTTCACGTCATAGGCATAGACTTGTAGAGTGTCTAAGAAATTAGTCTACCAAGACTTCATATAGATCCAGTGAACTCTCATTAACTTGATGTCAAAACTGTCATAATTATTGAAATGATGGAATATACTATCCAATGTATTTATTACGTCTTTCTCTATATAGAAAAGGTTTTGTAAGCGTGCGGTCTCTCTCTCATTGTGGAATTTCAAATTGTCATAGCAACGACTTGTTGGGCTTTAACAAGTTGCATGAAAGGAAGTTATGTGTTAGGTTACGAACGTGCGAGCAATATTTGGCGTCAGTTTACTGTGGCCATTCTCTGGCCACTAACAATATTTTGATGTGGATGCGTTAAGTGTATTATACCGTACAAAGTCGAAGGTCTACAACTGACTACTTTTGCATGTTATTCGTGGGAGATGGTGTTAAACGTCGGCCTCGACGCATCATTCGATAACGTGTAGGACTGAAAATGGACACGGGGGAAAACATGAGAAGCTAACATGCAACTAGTGACCGTCCGTTGAATTCCCAACGGATGTTATACTCGTATCAGTACGTACATATAAATATTTTCTTTTTATAGAGTAGGGAACCGGTGGATGTAGCAAGCCGACAGGCTTGTATATCAATTTCGAACACGAAGTTATCTAGTTCCTGAGCAGTGTTCATTAGCCTGGACCAAAAAATAAAATATTTTGTCTCTAAGAGGCCATGGAATTCCATAGGGCTGTGAGACGTCGAAGCTTGTAGACAACTAGCTCACAGATGCCGGTGGGGTTGTCAGCCTTACTCGCCGGCTACCATTTACCCCTACGAAGGCTCCTGGTACTCACTTGTGTTAAGAGGCTTCCAGCTTGTATCATAGTGCCTCAGCCAACTATGCAACGTGTTCAAGAAAACAGCTCTTCATTCGCTTTAACAAGTGACTTACGTAAACAGCTTTAAACAAGCGCCGCAGAATCTTGCCTTGCTGTTTAATTCTGCGATGATGATGATGATGATGATGATGATGATATTAATAACAATAATAATCCCATTCGTGTAAACTGGGCCGTCAAGAGAACATACAACTATCTTTAAGATGAAAACAAAACAGTTACGATTGTATCACTATTGGTTTGTGGGAACTGCCCACATTCAAGCAAGTGTGACAACGCGAGCTTCATTGCTTAGCAACGACGAGTAAACAGCGGTTTATCGCGAGAGTTGAATGCCACAGAGCTTGGCCAGGGAGTGGAAGAGTTGAAATTCAAACTGACATCCCTGGTCGGTGGTGATGGTCTGTGAGCAACCGAAGCGGGACATCCAGCCGGTCAGTAGGACTCGTGCCACTGTGTCGGCTGTGATGTCCGGGATGGGGATGGCTTCTGGCCAGCGGGTGAAACGGTCGACTGCAGTGAGACAGTATGTGTAGCCTCCTGACGTCGGAAGGGGTCCCACAAGGCTGCCGGCAGTGTAAAGTCGCCCAAAGGAGTCGCTGTGTGGCGGGAGACTTTGGAGCGCTGGCAGGATTGACAAGCACGTGCCCAGGTGCGGCAATCCTTCTGCACGCCTGGCCACACGAAACGCTGTGCGACCAGTTTTGCCGTTGCTTTGGTTCCTGGGTGCGACAGATCATGGACGGACTGGAACACTTCGAACCGTAGAGGAGCTGGGATGTACGGCCGAGATTTCCCGGAAGAGGTATCGCAACAGATGGACACCGTGCTACCGGGGGTTGGTAGCTTTTCGAGCCTCAAAGCGGTGTTCGACTGCCGAAGCGATTGGAGCTCGTCGTCGCTGTCGTGCGATGCGGCCAATGCGTGGTAGGATGGTGGCGCAGTGACGGACTCGACGCGGGAGAGCACGTCGGCAACAACGTTGCCCTGTCCCGAGATGTGTCGGATTTCGGTCGTGAATTGTGCTATGAAATCCAGGTGGTTGAACTGCCTTGGTGAGCATTTGTCCCTTTTCTGCTGGAAAGCGTAGGTGATAGGTTTGTGGTCTGTGAAGATGCTGAAGTGGCGCGCTTCCAGCATGTGGGGAAAGTGCTTTACGGCCTCATAGATGGCCAGCAGCTCTCGGTCATACGCACTGTATTTTTGCTGGGCCGGGTTGAGTTTCCTTGAGAAGAATGCCAGGGGCTGCCAGGCGTTCTTNGGAAAATGGGGTCCTAGTTGATACCCAGACGTTCTTCGGCGTAGTGTCCCATCCTGGTAGCTTCGTATCGGCTCCTCTCCTCTTTATCCTGTCTTCGCTGAGATGTCGGCCCCTTGGTTGGGCGCCACCACTACGTCGTGTGACCGCCCCACGGGTTGGGCGCCACTCACTCTCTATGACTGCCCCACGGGTTGGGCGTCACTAACTCTCTTCTTTAACTGCTCACCTCCTTTTGTGCCCTTTACGTTCGGTGTCACCTTCTTGTTGTCGCCGTCCCCCTTTACCTTCCTGTTCCTTCACCTGGCTTCCACCTGCAGCAGCTGTTGCTGATGCTCTTTGCCAGAGGAACACAGGTGAGTTTTCATACCTCAGAAGGTAGAGTTGAGACTGTCTCAGGATCTTTTGTACGGGCCTCGCTCAGACAGGAAGGCAGAAGCGTCTAATGATACACTTGCACTTTGCATGTGAGTATAATTTATTCTTTGTGAAGAAAGTGTAAAACAAAACACAGTTCACATACACAATTCACCAAGTGCTGACACTTACAACTGTTCCTAGCTGGACCACCACTTTTTTTTTT